AAACTCTCAAATAATCAAAGAACAGCCTTAGCTCTGACAGGTCTCATTCCTGGGGTGTTCATTCCTAATGATAGAAAGCATGAGTTTTTTTTCAGGTGCCTGGATATGATCATGATGTTCTGTGTTGTTGAATTACTTTTGACATTAGCACCCAATTTGCCTCTGGAAAGGACACTGTTAAGTCAGATTGCATTCAATGAGGACTTTGGGGCTACATTTTTGAGACTTGTGAATCAGAAATTATGGTCACATTGGAAGGCTTCATAGAGGTAATGAAACAATGATTCTCCGCTGTTGGGTATACAAACTGCAGAAGTCCCCAGAGATGTTGCCCTTCCCCCACATCCCAGTTCTTCCACTGATGGAAGTGGATCATATCTGCTGCCAATGGATAGAAGAAGGATTAAGAGTAGTGAATTCTGAGACATTGAGTTCAAATTCTCATTTCAAAGATGAGAAAAGGGACTCAGAGAGAGGGAAAGGCACTTGCCAGCATCATGTATTTAGCAGCAGAGGTAACATGATGTTATGGAATGAGCGTAGGACTGGCAGTGAGGAATGTGAGCTGTGCTGTAACTGCTGTCCATGCCTGTGCTGTGCTCACTGGCCCGTGGATGGCTTCAGGTTCCAGGGAAGACTGTAGTCCCCAGGGCTATGCTCATGCCCAGATTTGGACAGCTCCAGAGATGAATACATCCTTGTTCTGCAGATACCAGACACTTGCTGCATTTATCCTAAGGCTTGCTCAGTAGAATCCTCCTCAGGACCAGACATGTTGAAAATTTGTCTGGAAGGTATGAGGCAGCAGTTCAACCTGGTTCCTATTCACACTTGATTGTTTAAAGTCAGGCAAGACTTTCCAGACTTTTGATGTTTATCCTTTAAAATATAAGATATAACTCCTGATTCGTAGCCTAAAACCTAAAATTGACCTCTGCTCAGAAGTCTTCAGTGATATACACACCTTGTGACACCAAAGAAAGCCCAAATAATGTAATCCAGCCTTCACAGACTGGATCCACTTTAACCTTCCCAGCCTTATTTCCTTTTACTCTACCATCTTCCAGCCTAAGGGAACAATCAGCTCTTCCTCATCAGTGTCTAACACTTTCTGGCTTCTTGGCCTTGTTTCTTCTTTTTGGGGAGACATGTGGTCTCTGGAATGGGATAGATCTGGGATTAAATTTTAGCTTCCTTCCATCTCTAGCAGTGTGACTTTGGGCAAATTATATAACCTTTCTAAATTTTAGTTTTTCCATGTGCAAAACAGGATAGTAATAGGATCTACCCAGTAGGATTGGGTGAAAAGTTTAAGAGAACGAGCCCTGGTGGTTCAATGGTTTACTGTTTAGTTGCTGATCAAAAGATCCATGATTTACAATTTGAACCACCACAGATAAAAAGGTGGCACTTTTCTTCCATAACGATTACCCACTGCCATTGATTCGATTCTGACTCAGCAATCCTTTAGGACAGAGTAGAAAAGTCATGTAGGGTTTCCAAGGCTGTAAATCATTAAAGAAGCAGACTGCCATATCTGTCTTTCGTGTAGCAGCTGGTGGATGTGAACTGCCAACCATTTAGTTGGCAGCCGAATGTCTTAAGATGACAGCCTTGGAAACTCTGTGGAGCAGTTCTACCCTGTCGTATAGGGTCACTCTAAGTAGGAATCAACTGGATGGCAACTGTTTTTTTTGGTAAGTTTGGGAGCTGATTTATGTAAAGTGTCTGGGACAGAGCCTAGTTCTTCTGAGTAAGCACTCAAGACGTGTTTCTTCTTTTTGTTAGTTATATCAGTTTTTTTTTCCTCCTTCTGTACATGTACAAGTCGTAACTATATGAATACTTATGTCAGTATTTCTGTGAAACCCTCCTTTATTCTCTCCACATCTCTCATCAGCCCATCCTTTCTCCTGCCACTGAATGCCCACAGCACAGAGTTTGTTCTACTTGTATCATTCGCCATTTTTAGCCCTGTTTTGGATTAATTGGTACATTTGCCTATTCCCTATGTGAGCTCCTTGAAATCAAGAACTGTCTTAATCTTTTGTGTGTTTCCTAAAGTAGGAGTTTCCAGATCCGGATGGTTATTAGAATCACCTGGGGCTAATTTAAATCTTATTACTTAACACGGTGCCTCAGAAAATCCTGTTGTGCCTGTGCCTGCTTTATGTACATTTGTTGAATTCAAACAAATATGAGAGAGATACTCTCTTTTCTTCTCTGTGTCCTTTATAATCAGGGAAGTTTTGATAGTATCTATTTCTTTCTTTTTGTTTGTTTTTATTCTTTTACTGTTCCTGGTTACTTAAGAAGAAAAAGTAGTGCTGTTTATTTATTTTTACTTAAAACAAGCTTAGTGTCTGCATATTTTGTTTCTGAGTTGGTGTATTTTGCCATTTGACCTGTATTTTCCTTCTCAGGATTAAAAAAAAAAAATGCCATCAAATTAGGCAATTCCATCTCCCTCTGAGAGTCAGCTCCCTAAATCTCTCTATGTTGACCATAATCCATCTGAGTAGTTATTTTGAGGGATTGATTTAATTTGTATTTCTAGAAAAGAAAAAAATAAATAAATAAGCTCAAGGAATTTCCTCATTCTTATTCTGGTTTATTGCTGGTTTTCCCTTTCTAAAATGAATGTCTTAGAGAAGAAATTTAAAACCAAGGCCAAAATTGCATCATATAAATCTTATTACCTCAGAATAAAAATCTTTTCCTACATCCCATGTTTAAATCTCCTATCACCTATATGTAAGAATGTACTTTTGATCCAGAAAAGATTTTAAAAAGGAGTTTGATTTTATGTCTTCTTGAAATAGCTGTTCT